TCTCAGCTGTGGAGATGGACAGGGAAGGAATTTGGCTGGTGGGGAGAAAATGGATTCATGGATTCGTGGATTTGCATCCATGAGCAGCTCCCAGCCAAGAGAAATGAAATGTTGAGTGAGGCAGCACAACTTTGCTGGAGTGTTGAGGTTTGAACCCAAATGGAAACTTCACAGCTCGGTCATCTTAAGGCTGGAATTAAAAAAAGAGCAAAATTAATTCCCTTTATTTTTTTGGCATCATTTCCATGCTGAATCCGAGTCCTCTGGCACACCTGGTGCCCCAGGAACGCTCCCTCTCCCATCCCAGTGGATGTTTTTTTCCCCCAAAAAAAGAAATCACAAATTCCTTCTAAAACCTTGAAATCCTCACTCTCACATCTGGTTCTGTGCAGCTTTTTGTCAGCATCTCCTTGTCTGAATCGAGGTCCCACTTCAACAGCTGAACTTGTGGGTTTTGCATCTCTGAAGAACCCATTTGTGATTTTTATTTTTTTTTTAATTTTTACTTCAATACAGCCAAGAAAGTGAAATGCTTTGTGCACATGTGGGGTTTTTTTTTAATGGGTTTTGTGGGTTTCAAAGAGTTTCATCTGAGGGCTGCCCAGAAGTTGAGCTCACCCTGATGAACCTGATCGAGTGTAAAAGGCTGTTCCAGCACTGGAGTTGTTAAAATGAGATTTTCTTCTGCCAAATCTGTCTGGTCCAAAGGCAATTTGCACTCCAGAGGAGATATTCCCAATTTATAAGCAGGGAAAAGCCACCCCCACTTATAGGGATGGTTTGGGGTGTCACCCCATGAGGGGACAGAGCTCGTCCCCTCCTCATCCCTGCCACTTTGCAGAGGGAAAAAAGGTTGGAATGGAGGAAAATCCAAATCTCAGCCAAGTGGGGCAGATTTCCAGATGCTTCCCTTACCTGAGAGTATCCAAAAATTCTCCTGGAGTCTGGCTGGAAGCACCACTTGACCCTGCTGTGGGATGGGAGGAGCAGCAGGGGCTCCTGATGGCTTTTCAAGGCAGGGTTTGGGGATTTGCTGCTCTGTCTGGCCAAAGCTGCTGCTTTTTTCCAGCTCAAAAACCTCACCACAAACTGTTTAGGCAGAGGTTTTGTGCCATGGCACACCTCAGGATTTAAATCCCTTGGGTGTGTTTTGAGAGAGGTGACTGAGGTAAATTTATTTTTGGGATTCAAGCTGATTTCTGAGGTGGAATTTTTCCTTTTTTTTTCTGATTCTCCTCCAAAATTTCGCTGATTTCTTTTGGTTTTTTTCAGACTGACGAGGCTGTTGCTCACGTTCCCAGGGAAGAACTTTTTCCTAAAATCCAGGCTAACCCCTCCTGACACAGCTCCAGCTGTTCCCTCCCAGGGATCACGGCTGGAGGTGGGAATGGAGGGATCAGAATTCCCACAGGACCAAGTCTTGGTTCTGAAGTGAAAACAACTTACAGTATTGGTGCAGAGTGGTTAACACACAGTGATAGAACTTAACTATAAATAATTTGAAAAACAAGAGAGATAAAGAATTATTTACATTGTCTCTAGTTCTTTTTCAGGCTTTTTGCCTGGCTAGAAACTCTCAGTTTCTTTCTTTGACTGAATCTGAGACCCACAACATTCCACATGGGAAAAACAAGGAGCAGAAACAGAAATTGTTTTCTCTTTAATTTCTCTCTGTGCACCTCTGTGAAAAATCCTGAGAGGGAGAGAAATGTGCTTGCCACAACCAAGGGCCAGGTTCACCTCCAGGCTGGGGCAGAAGGGCTGGGAAGGTCCCTGGGGGTGCTGGTGGCAGTGGTTGGACATGCCCAGGTGGGCACGTTATAAATGAAAATTTGTCCAGCCAAATTAAGATGAAAAAAATAAAATATTTATTTTGCAATCAAATTCTATCTAGCCAGCCACAAGGAAAGAACAGAGCCAAGCCCGGGGTTGGCCCTGGGTGTGTGAGAAGAAGTCAGCCTCAGCAGAGGTTTTCCTCCATGCCCACACGCCTCCATCCTGGCACAAACGGGTTTTATAGCCTAAATCAACAGAAAAATGCCAACACCACAGTGAAACATGGAGGGCATGAAGGAGGAGAAAAAGGACAAGACACACCCAATTTCCTCCATCTTGTCCCCTCTGAACCCCTAATCTAGAATCCTAAAATTTTACTTTTGCACCCGTGTCACACTTAATTATTACTCATATCAAACACTCAGAGCTTGTAATTCATCCTGTAAGATTGAAAACTCTTTTCCATGGACAGAGATCACAGCCAGTGCCTCTGGGGGCTCTGTCCAGGGGGTTCCTGACCCCTGCCAGGGTCCCAGGGCAGCCAGAGGGAAGCTCTGGATTCCCACAATTCAATATCAGATATATCATATTAGAAATGGCGTGAATTATATTTACTACACATAACAGGCAGGAGGCCGATGGCACCTGGATTTTGGCAGGAATGGAGTGGCCAGCAGGATTAGGGAAGGGACTGTCCCCTGAGCTGGCACTGCTGAGGGACCCCCTGGAATCTTGGGATCAGCTCTGGGCTCCTCAGTTCAGGAAGGACCTGGAGGGGCTGGAGAGTGTCCAGGGATGGAGCTGGGAAGGGAATGGAGAGGCAGGAAAAGCTGAGGGAGCTGGGAAGGGGCTGAGCCTGGAGCAAAGGAGGCTCAGGGGGACCCTGTGGCTCTGCACAAGTCCCTGCCAGGAGGGGATGTTGGTTTTCTTAGTTTTTATGGAGATGGGGTAATTGAGAGGTGTTTTACAAGATTTTATTCTATTATCAATCTCAATAAATAGTAAAACACATTCTAATTCTCTATAATATCTAATCTTTTTACAAAACCCTATTTTAAAACTTCTTTCGAATTCAATCTTTCTCTCAACAATATCATCTCTAGTCTATAACCTTCCTGAATCAACACACCTCATCTCAATATTTATATACAAATATACCAAACTATATAAACTTCCTAACAAATTTTACAAATTCTTCACAAAGAAAAATTGTGAATTCTTCACAAAATTCTTCACAAATCCATTTCCCACACAGGGACAGCCGGGAGGTTGAGCTGTGCTCCAGGGAACAGGGACAGGAGAGGGAACGGCCTCAGGATGGGCCAGGGGGGATTTCAGGGAAAATTCTCCATGGAACTGATGCCTTGTGGAGGCTGAGCCAGAGCACAGGCTGGACTAAAGAATAAAGCAGGGATTTATTCTCTGTGCAGAGAGCTCACCGTCCCATAATGAGAAGCCCAGACCCACACACCAAAGCAGCTCAGAATGTGAAAAATACAAAAGCTAAAACGTGAGGCATCATTTAGGATTCGTGGCCCGGCCAGACCAGGGTGCTCTAAGGATTCTCCTGATGATGGGCTGAAAATCCCAATCCTGCTGGGATTTTTGTGTCTTGCTGCTGCTCCAACACCTCATTTCCTTGAGTTTTTCCAAGAGAAAAGGCAGGATCATGTTGTGTGTGTCCACCCTGGGGACATTTTCAGCAAACTGATGGCTTGATGAAGCAGGGGCTGGGCAGAGCTAAAGAATAAATTCGTGATTTAATGAAAGGATCTCCTCCATGGATCCACCTTGGGCAGCACCAGAGCCCAGCCAGGGCTGCACCCAAGATGAACCAAAATGGTCCCAAAATGCACGAGCGCTCCCGGGGGCTCTCCCTGGGATCAGTTCTGCTCCATTGGCACCTTGGAGTTCATTGTCCCATTCCAGCTTTAGCCCAGGCAGTCCCACCCTGCTTGTTTTTCTCTCTCCAGCCCACGGTGTTTGTGCTCCTGGGCTGAGATTTGGATCATTTGTCCTTGGTGCCCAGCTGGAGCAGGAATTGTTTTGTCTCCCTGCTCTGTGCACAGAGCTCACCATCCCATAATGTGAAGCTCATAACTACACACCAAACTGTCGGAATCTGTGGGTATTGGTGATTCTGAGATTGTAGAAAGTCTCTGTCTTTCGGCCCCATTGCCAAAGAAGAAGCCATAATTCGTCTGTGCTGGTTTCAAGGCTGTTTATTCTGTTTATTTCTAACATGTTCTGCTGCCCTGCCGCAGCTCTGTCCTGCAGGGCAGCGTGTGGGGCTCTGCCCTCAGTGGGATGTTACAAACATTAAATACCACAAACTACCTGTGCTGGATTTACAATAATGTGCCAATATCTGTCACCTACGTTGGACAGTGTGTCCCCAGCCTAAACCAACAGAAAAATGCCAACACCACAGTGAAACATGGAGGGCATGAAGAAGGAGAAAAAGGACAAGACACACCCAGTTTCCTCCATCTTGTCCCCTTTGAACCCCTAATCTAGAAACCTAAAATTTTACTTTTGCACCTGTGCCACACTTAATTATTACTCTTATGAAACACTCAAAGCTTGTAATTCATCCTGTAAGATTGAAAACTCTTTTCCATGGACAGAGATCACAGCCAGTGTCTCTGGGGGCTCTGTCCTGGGGGGTTCCTGACCCCTGCCAAGGTCCCAGGGCAGCCAGAGGGAAGCTATGGATTCCCACACCAAACCAGCACAGAATATAAAATATATATAAAAACTAAATATAATATAAAATATAAAAGCTAAACCCCGAGACATCAGAAAGGAAGATTAAAACTGGAAGGGGCTGCTCAGGGGACTCACCATCGCTGGAGATGTTTACGGAACACTCAGCCCTCAGAACAAAGCGCTGCTCGGCCACAGGTGGGACTCGATGTTCTCTGAGGTTTCTCCATCCTCAACAACGCGGCGATTCCCTGGCAGGGGTCAGGAACCCCCCTGGACAGAGCCCCCAGAGACACTGTCTGTGATCTCTGTCCATGGAAAAGAGTTTTCAATCTTACAGGATGAATTACAAGCTCTGAGTGTTTGATATAAGGAATGGCGGGACGCGTGCCTCAGTTTCCCTCAGCGCCGGGCCGCGCTCCGCCAGGCGGCGCTGCGCCCGCCGCCCTCTGGCCACGCCCCCAACGCTCCTGATTGGCCGCCGCCTCAGCCGCCGCCATTTTCAAACCGCCGCCGCCGCCATTTCTGGCCGGGCTGAGGCGCCGCTGCCGCCGCCGCTGTCAGCTCCGCTCCCGTTCCCCGTCCCCATGGAGGCACAGCCCCCGGGCCAGAAACCCCCTGGGAGGAGACGGAGCAGGGTCAGCATCTCGCCCCCGGCGGGCGGCACCCCCGGTGTGGCCGCCTCCTGCAGCCGGTAGGAGTCGCGATCCCCCCCTCCCGTCGCGTCCCGCCGTGAGGGGTGAGGGTGACCCGCGCCCTCAGGGGAGATCCCGCCGCTCTCCTGTGTGAGCAGAGTGCCTTTAGCTCCATGTTTGCCTTGTGAAGGGAACCCCCGGCCGGCTGTGAGGGGGTTTTCCAGGGAAATTCCCTTCCTTCCCGTCTCCTGCAGCGACAACGAGAATTTATTGTGATTTATTCCTAATTTCTCCTCCCCTCCCTTTAATTTAAGAGGAATGAGGGAAATGCTTTAAGGAAAATGTCGTTTTTCACATAATTTGGAGAAAAATGGGTTTGAATTCCTTAAGGAGTTTTTTTTTCCTGCTGTGTACGGGCCCTTGACAGAGTGCGAGAAAAATGGGATGTGGGATATGCAGGTAGGAATGGGATGTGGGATATGCAGGAAAAAACGGGATTTGGGATATCCAAGAAAAAACGGGATTTGAGCTATCCAAGAAAAAACGGGATTTGAGCTATCCAAGAAAAAAACGGGATCTGGGATATCCAAGAAAAAAAAACGGGATCTGGGATATCCAAGAAAAAAAACGGGATCTGGGATATCCAAGGAAAAAAAACGGGATCTGGGATATCCAAGGAAAAAAAACGGGATCTGGGATATCCAAGAAAAAAAACGGGATCTGGGATATCCAAGAAAAAAAACGGGATCTGGGATATCCAAGAAAAAAAACGGGATCTGGGATATCCAAGAAAAAAAACGGGATCTGGGATATCCAAGAAAAAAAGGGATTGGATATAGCCATGTAAAATTGGGATTGGGAATTCCTCTCCTGCGCTGTGGGAGAATATTTTGCTTTTCTGCCTCATGAGGCGGGCGCTTCTTTCCTCAGGCTGTGGCAGCTTTGTAACATCTCCCCTCATGAGGAAGGGGTTTGTAGCTGCTCCTATCACGGAGTTTTAAAGGGTTGGAATGGTGAAAAGCGCCAATCAGTTGGTTTTTAAAATTTTGAAAGTTTAATAATAATAAAATGGTTATAAAAATAATAATACAGTTAGAGTAATAGAGTTTAGAGTTAGGACAATTACAAGACAATAAAAAAGCAAAGAATTACGGACGTCTGGATGCTCGGACACTTAAGTCACGAAAAACATCCCTTGTGAACAAAGGAATAACGTTAAATCAATACACTTTGTTGCATATTCATACATCCTTCATGGCTGTGCATACATTATATTTAAAACAAGAACTCTGTTGTATGTAACTGTTTCCTTTAATCCCCATGGTGTCTTCGAGTGAGGCAAGGCCTGAAGAAATTAGCTTCTTCTGATAAGAAAACCATAAATTCCTTTTATTTGGAAGATTTAGGGGTTCCTCAAAGTGAGTATCTCATTCCAAAAAAAAACCCAAAAAACTCTCCCCACATACAGTCTCTATTTTAACATTATGCTGGAACCTAAAACTATATTTAACACACTACCTAAGAGAATTAATACAGCATAACTTCCTAACATTACACATATAATATTCGTTGTAATATTTGCAAAAAGCCAATCATAAAATATGCATTTTTCACAGAACGATCCTTAAGGATCACCCAGTGACTCCAGGCTGCTCCAGCCTGGCCTTGGACACTTGCAGGAGCAGCCACAGCTCCTCTGGGCAGGGCTGGGATCATATTTCCTCTCCTGGGCATAAAATCCACCGCAGCACCAGCTGGGCTTTTATTGTGATTTTTAACCCCCTGTGCGAGGTGTGTGTTACTGCTACTCTGAGGTGTGAAGTTTAGGAGATTTTCCTAAGGTCGCACCCTGAAAGAAATTTAGGAGAAAAAAAAAAAACCAAATCCTGAAGTTCGGTTCTTCTCATTTGTGTTGACCCCAAAATGTTAGCTGGGTGTGTTTAGAATTTAAGCAAATTTGACAGCCCCGGATCAGCAGCGGTTTGCGTTTTCTGTTGCCCTCAAGGATAGGAAATGACTTCTCTGAGCGTGCAGGTGATGTGGAAACCTCCTCTATCTGACCTAAGTTGCTTTTGCTACCCGAGCACAGAGTTTTCCTACCTCCAAACGCTGTGTTTGGACAGAAATTAATTCTGGGCTTGAGCAGGGATCAACCTTTGCATCCCAGCTTGGCTTGGAGGGGTGACAGATGCTCCTGCTTCTCCTCCAGCCTCATTTTTCCATGGAAATGAGAGCGAGGAGGGCGAGTGGAGCAATCCCTTGTTGTGAAACCTGGAACCATTTCCCAGGGGCTGGAGTGGATGTTAATTAGGCGAGAAAAGCGAAATAAGCATTGAGTAGTTCGGGTTTTGCAAGCGTTGGGGTGCTCTGGGTGGCAGAAGGGTCTAACAGGCTTTAAAAAATGAATGTTTTCATAGAAACGTGCTCTTGAAGAGCCAACCTGGAGCTCCCTAATTAGCACACTCTGAAAAGCAGAGCCTAATTGAAGGTTTTTGGTGGTTTGGCATGGTCGAGCATTCCTGGGAGAGGCTGAAGGAATTGGGATAAAACCAGAAAGGAATGATTGCAGATACATCTGGGCACCCAAGGTGCTGCTTGAGGCTTCCTTAGAATAATGAAAAAGTTGCACTGGGAGATCTCCTGCCCAGCTTCAAATTCAAGTCAGCTTGGCACTGCCTGCGTGAGCTCTAAAAACCTCCAAGGGCAGGGGTTTTCTTACCTCTCACAGCTTGGTCACACTCACTGGGGGACAATTTTCCTTGGATTTACTGGAAATTTGCCATGCTGCAGCTTGTGCGTGTGGAAGGGTCTGCTTCTGGTTTGATCGACTTTTTAGATAGTTTTAGAAAGCACTTAAATCCCTTTTTGCCTTCCCCGGATTGCCTTTTACCTTCTTTAAATCCCTTTTTGCCTTCCCTGGATCCCCTTTTACCTTCCTTAAATCCCTTTTTGCCTTGCCTGGATCCCCTTTTACCTTCCTTAAATCCCTTTTTGCCTTCCCTGGATCCCCTTTTACCTTCCTTAAATCCCTTTTTGCCTTCCCTGGATCCCCTTTTACCTTCCTTAAATCCCTTTTTGCCTTCCCTGGATCCCCTTTTACCTTCCTTAAATCCCTTTTTGCCTTCCCTGGATCCCCTTTTACCTTCCTTAAATCCCTTTTTGCCTTTCCTGGATTGCCTTTTACCTTCCTTAAATCCCTTTTTCCCCTTGCCTGGATCCCCCTTTTTTTTTTCCCTTGCCTGGATCCCCCTTTTTTTTTTTATCTTTCCCTGCCTGGATCCCCCCCCTTTTTTTTTCCTTCTCTGCATCCACCTACTTTTTTTTTTTTTCCTTTGCCTGGATCCCTTTTTTCCCTTCCCTAAATCCTTTTTCCCTTGTCTGGATCCCTTTTTGCCTCTCCCTGCTCTCAGTCCCTTTATCAATCCTGGCATCCTTTTGCCACAGTCGCTGCTCCCAGTGTCCAGCTGGGCTCTCCCAAATCCCACCTGGCATCATTGGAGCCGTTTGCTTCCCCAGCCACCAAAAACAGAATTTCAGTTGTTTAATCCTCGCAGCTGCTGGGGACAGAGCAACAGAGGGTTTGTTTTCTTAATTAAAAGAAAACAAAAACAAAAAAAAAAAAACAAAAAACAAAACAAAACAAAAAAAAAACCAAAAAAAAACCAGACTAAAATCTGGAAGCAGTCTTTTTTTTTTTTTAAACTTTATCCAAACGTGCAAAATCTGGGTTTGGCTCTCTAATTATGAGGTGTTTTGCTAATTTGGAGATTTCTTGGTGGGAGTGCCAATGAGGAAAAATAAGAGTCTTTAAGGGCTAAAACCTCACTTGTGTCTTTTGTTCCTTGGGTTTCTCATCTGTCCTTGGCACAACAATTCCACAATATTCCAGCAACTGGGAGAAGGCTGGGAAGAAATTATCCCTGAGTGGAGTAATTCATTTTTAATGAATGAGGAATAATCCCATTTAAATGGCAGTACTCCCATTTAAAAAAAAAAATCAAATCAGAGTTTTTAAATGTTTAAATCTCATTTGTGTCCTTTATTCCTTGGGCTTTTCCTCAGCTGTCCTTGGCACAATGCCACAATCTTCCAGCAACTGGGAAGAAATTATCCCTAAAACTGAGTGGAATCATTCATTAAAAAAAAAAATTAAAGAGTTTTTAAGGGACTCGTTGTGAGGTAGGAGTAGGAGAAAGGCAAAGCAGGCTTAAAACTTGAAAAGGGTATAAACAAAATTTTATTAACAGTAACTAAAAGAGTAATAAAAATCAGAAACAAACGTTTAGAACACTTCTCCTCCCCCCACAACCTTTTCTTTCCACTGACAATGTAAAGAAACAAAACCTAAAATTCCAGTCAGTTTACCAATTCTAAAATTGGTTTCCTTAGGGAGAGAAATCCCTCGTGTTAATGTTATGGAGATTATAAGGAAAAAAACCAATTTTCTCGTGGCTTTCTCATGCACAGCAGCTGCCTGCTGGAAGAGAAGGACAAAGTTCCCGGCTGTCTTTCCTCTTTAAAGTGTTTTTTTCTGAAAAGTGTGTACAACTTCCTAGCAGCTAAAAGTTTTATATCACTTCTATAAATGTCTCCCATGTCAAACTAAGCGAGGGCGAGGTAATTCCCTTTATTAGCCTTGAGTTCTCAGGGCTGCGACATTCCTGAGCAGCCTCGAGCTGCTGTTTCAGTGGGGTATTTTTAAAGGCTCGCATTTCACTCCTGCCGCGCTGCTGGAGGATTCCTGATGCTCCCAAAAGAGAGGGAGCTGGGAAGGGACCGGGGATTTGTAGCAGCCTCTTGTTTGTGGTGTCTAAAAAGGGAGGAGACGCTGCTGGAGACGGTGACTTCACCCACTTATGAACTGGGAATGTTTGAGCTGAGGGTGCTTTTCACATCTTCTCATTTTCTGTTTATCTCTTTTATTTCTTTCCCCCCACCGCGGCAGTGCACCTGCAGCTCCTGCTTCGGGTTTCAGGTTCAAAAGTGAGAGGTAATTGCAGAGGAAGCTGCACAGCGCTCAGAAGGAAAAGTAAAAAATTACTTTCCCAAGGAGACATTC